TCCAAAGGCAACCAATTAGGGTTTTTTTTTTAATATTATTAGGAACTCATATATTTAAATATATTTATTGTATTTCAATCAATTGCAATTATTACCCCTTTTAAAGTTGAAATTGTCTTGTCTTTGGTCAGTGGGAACATCTTCAAGTTGGCTCCTGAATCTTTTTGAGCCCCAGTAATCTCTGATAGCTTGCTTGGCCTTTGGTATGGCAACATGGTCCAGACTCATCTATACATTTCCTGTCCTAAACCTGGTATCAGACATTTCCCTAAGAAGTTCTGGTTTCTTTAAGTGGGAAATGAAATTTCAAGACACAATCTGGGAGTAAAGATGTTCACTGCCATTTGGTTGGTCTTTATTTTTAAGCTTCAATTGACAGAGCTAGAATATATAGAAATTTTTTTAAAAAGGGGAGTTTGTTTCAAATTCAAACTACAAAGTATTTTACTTAACCTCTTCTATTTTACATTCTTATCTTCTTCCATACCCTGGTTTTCGAGGATGCAGGAGAAGACAGAATTAGAATAATCCATACTCATTTCCTTTATTCCACATGCATACACGACAGTCTTACAATAGCAATATTGTCACTCCAGCATCCCTGAGAACAGTATCTCTTCTCATTCACCCCTCACTTTTAAAAATAGTTGCACTACATTTACACTGATTGAACACATAGCTGGTGCATGCTACACGCTCTCCCTTTTAATCCTCATTTAGTCATAGTTCTATAGTTAGCCGTATGTTTAATGCTCACTATCAGTACTCTGTCAATGTCTTTCTAGTAATTTTGTCTGAAGCTTGTGCTCTAGTAGATTCCTCAGAAAAGACTCAAGGGAACAATATTCCCTGGTTTCTTACATGTTTCCAGTTCATCTGTGCCCTTTATACTTCAAAGTCAGTTTCTCTAAGTATAAAATTCTTGGCTTACATTTTCCTTGAATATCTTAAACATGTTACTGTTTTCTTCTGGCATAAAATATTGCTTTAAAAAAGTCTGATGATAATCCAAAATTTTTTTTTTTGGGTAAACCATGCAACAATGTCTTTTATTATGTATGGTTTTTTTTTTTTTTTAAATTACTTTCTCTTTTTTTTGAGATAGAGTCTCACTCTGTCACCTGGGGTAGAGTGTGGTGGCGTCATCATAGCTCACTGCAATTGCAAACTCCTGGGCTCAAGTGATCCTCTTGCCTCAGCCTCCTGAGTAGCTGGGACTACAGGCGTGTGCCACCACACCTGGCTAATTTTTTCTATTTTCAGTAGAGACAGAGTATCACTGTTGCTCAGTCTGGTCTCCAACTCCTGAGCTAAAGTGATCCTCCCACCTCAGCCTCCCAAAGTGCTAGGATTACAGGTGTGAGCCACTGTACCTGGCATTAAAGTACTTTCTCAATCTCTCCATACACAGATAAAAGTAAGTGTTATTTAACATATTGGAACTTACAAACTTGATCATTGCCTAGAGAAGGGAAAATTATCCCTAAAACATGCTTAACTAGGAGGCCAATTCATCTGCCGACCTCCAAGAACATGGAAATGAACGTGATATGCAGATTGTCCCCCATCTGAACCTTTATTCACCACCATTCGATAACCCTTCTTCAGGCCCAGATCTGCAGCACATGTTTGCCGACGATGACTAAATATATAAGAAGACTTTCATCAGCATCTTCTGCTGCAGAAATCTAGGATATGTGTTTCTTGGGTATCACCAGAAAATGTGTTGGTGTTTGAGGGGAAATGTCACGGAAAGCAAGACACTGGTCATCCTCAGAAATGATTTTGGCTGGGATTTCCTTGTGGACGATCTTCCCAAAGATTGTGTGGCCACCAGGCCAAGTGACCCGAGCCTTGGTGCTCTCATCTGCCCCCTTGGCCTCCCTCCCACATGGCAGCCAAGGAAGACGCTCAGGAGGTTAAATTTTTTTCCCTCATAAGTAACATGTACTTTTTTTGGTAGATGCCTAAAGGATATTTTTCTTTTTCTTCAAGGTATGGTCATTTTATTAGCATATGTCTTGTTGTTGAATGTTCTGGGTTAGCATTTATAAAATATATTTTTTCAATAAAGAGTTTACGTATTTTTTTTATTATAGGAAAGTAATTTTGAATTATAGTTTTTAGTATTT